AGACGAAAAGGATATTGTTGCATATTGAGCTAAAGGAAAGCCTGATGCAGCAAAAAAAGGGAGTTGTCAAGGCTGAAAAGAGCAAGAAAAAGGAGGAGGAGGAAGACAAGGAAGATGAAGAAGATGAGGAAGAAGAGGAAGATGAAGAGGGTGAAGATGAAGATGATGAATAAATTGGTTCTAGTGCAGTTTTTTTTTAAAAAAAAGATTTATTTTATTTATTCATTCATTTATTTTGACTAGAGAGAGACAGACACAGAGAGAGAGAGAGAAAGTGAGAAAGTGAGAAAGTGAGAAAGCAAGCCAACAGGTCCAGGACTTGAACCATGGTCAGCCATGTGGGAGTGTCCAGCACCTTTACCACCATGCCACCTACTGGTCCCCTCTAGTGCAGTTTTTTTTTCCTTGTCTATAAAGCATTTAATCCCCCATACACAACTCACTCCTTTTAAAGAAAAACAATTGAAATGTAAGGCTGTGTAAGATTTGGTTTTAAACTGTACAGTGACTTTTTTTGTATAGTTAACACACTACCGAATGTGTCTTTAGCTAGCCCTGTCCTGTCCTGGTGGTATTTTCAATAGCCACTAACCTTGCCTGGGCCACTCTGGGGGTAATTTAAAGCAGGTTCTTTTTTTTTTTGAGAGGTTTTCGCTATAGGGCACGTGCGCTCGCCAGACAGACAGAGACATAGAGACAGAAAGCAAGAAATCATCCCCCAGGGGTGATGGTTACGCCGCAATCCCTTCTCCTCCATTCTCCTCTCGGGATCTTGGGCACACACGCACACGTGCCTGGCGTGAGTTTTAAGCCACCGGGTCCGGGACGCGAACCGCGGTCGAACATGTGGGAATCCAGCGACATAGCCATTATGCTAACTGCTGGTTCCCAAGGGAATGGTAGTTTTTTCATCTTCAGTAGTCTCTGATGTAGCTTATACGAAATAATTGTTGTTCTGTTAACTGAATACCACTTTGCAATTGCAAAAAAAAAAAAAAAAAGTTGCAGCTGTTTTGTTAACATTCTGAATGCTTCTAAGTAAATACAATTTTTTTAATTAAAAAAAAAAAAATGACCCCAGAACAGACACCGGTTACGTCTCCCACTGCCAACTGCCTACACTCCACGGCATCTCAGAGCTTCGACCACAGGTCACTGGTACCAACCGCAAGAGGGTGAATCCACTCAGTCAATAGGCGCTGCTTTATTGTGCGTATTCTCCATACAGAAGATATTCTCTCAGGAGTTGCGAGGTTTTTTGTTTTGTTTTGTGTTTGAAGTTTACTGACTAATTTCCTGAGAAAGAGAGGGGCCCTCTACAGGGTCTTCACACCACAATCCTCCCAGCAGCCCTGCAGCCAGCCAGATCCACAGTGCCCTGGGTATTCAGACAGAGCAGTTCCGTGAATTCGAAGCCTTCTAAGAGGGCCGCCAGCACCCACCCAGTGCCCGACTAACGGCACCACCAGGCTTAGGACAGGAGTTTCGAGTTCTGTGTTTTCATTTGCACCTTTTTTAAAGTTAATGTATGCATGTCCTAGGTCATCTTATAGGCATTTCATTTCACTATCTGCATTTAATTTTATAAAGAGGAAGACATCAAGAAAAGCCACGTTTGCTGTCTCACTGATGACAGAAGCGACTGAGCTTCATGCATAAACGATGCATCTGTGGGGTGCACAGGCCAGAGGGTGCTGGACAGGGCCGCACAAAAGAACGAGAGGAATTGACCCGAGAAAGCGGTGGGTGAACTGAGCCAGTCCTTGGCCTGTGGGGGTAGCAAACTGACTCAGAATAACCTGCCATGATGCCTCCACCACCATATTCATGATTTGTGCGAGAGTTTAGGTTTAAAAAAAACATTATTGGCCACATTAAATTAATGCTGTTCATTTGAATGTAATGGTTTTGCTATTTCGTTTGTATTTAATTTGTAAAGATGTTTGGTTTTATAGTTGTATAATGGTTATAAACAGAAGGAGTTTAGCCTTATTTTATTTTTATACATATTTAAGTAACATTATAATCAAAACAATCTAATTCAATCCTGCAGTATCAAGACATGCTCTTTCCTTTAGAGTCTCCACTCCTCAAGACTGAGAACAACTTCCCTGCAGCTTTCTCTCTAGCAGGAAAAGACAATGGGGATGACACGGTTATTTCCAAGTCAAAGTCACATGCAATTACAGGCACGTGAAGACGCACTTTTCAGGAACGACAAGTACTTTTGGGGTTAGTATCAGTCATTGTTTAATGGACATCTCATTCTCTGCAAAAAAAATAATAACTACGAAAAACTAAACATGTTTCTGTGTTTTTTTTTTTTTTATTAAAAAAAATTAGTTATTGAGTTGGAATTGTCTTCGAAGTCCTCTCGTCCAGTCACACTTTTTTGACACAAATGCCTAACAGGCTGTGCCTGGGTAAGGTGGAGAAGGGCTTCTGGATCAAGCGGTGCCGAAGATGGGACTCAGAGTTATTTACTCTTGGTGGGACTCGCCCTGTGACTGAGGAGAGCCTCCTCTGTAATGCTTTGCTGAGCGAGTTTGGAGATTTATCAGGAGGTTGGTGTCAGCCTGGGGTTCACGTGGTTCGGAGGAGAGATAGGGTAGGGGTACTGCAGCCCAGAAAGAGAGTGTGTGTGTGTGTGTGTGTGTGTGTGTGTGTCTAGGCACTA